GCTGCCTTCCTTCCATCAACCGGGTCCTCCATTCGTCTCGATCATCCCATGTTCCCTCTCGTAGTCCTCTCCGATGCATAGACTCGTCCACTTCATCTCGCCATGATCTTCTTGGCCGCCCTCGCTTTCTTCTTCCAATCGGGCTCCACTCTGTCACTCTGTTAATCCATCTATTTTCCGCCCTTCTAACATGACCGTACCATACCAATCTTTTCGTTTCTATGTACTTTAAGACGTCGGTCTTTCTCCCCATTCTTCTTCTTATTTCCTCATTCGTGACTCGGTCTCTTCTGGTTAGTCCACAGCATCTTCTCCAATACATCATTTCGGTGGCCAGAATTTTTCTTTGGTTGTTTTTGTTTATGACCCATACTTCTGCTGCATATGTCATGATACTCTGAATAATTGTTTCATATATCAATGTTTTAGTCTTTTTCCTGATATTTCTATCCCAGATAACGGAGTGCAGTTGTTGTATACAGGATCTTGTCTGTCCAAGTCTGACATTTATATCTTCTTCCGTAGTTGCGTTTTTCGATAGTGTAAATCCCAGGTATTTAAAGTTATTGGTTCCCTTTATTTCCAGGTGGTCTTCTATTTGTAAATCAGCTGTATCTTCCTCTGTTGTCATGTACATGGTTTTCTTCAGGTTTATTTCTAGTCCTACTTTTTCATACTCTTCATTTAGCTTCCTGAGCATATAACTTAGATCTTCCTCATCCTGGGCCATCACCACCTGGTCATCTGCAAAGCAGAGCGTGTAAAGATGTTCATTTCTTAGAGGGATTCCCATACCTTCACATTTGCGTTTCCAGGTTGTCAGTGCATGTTCCAGAAATATTTTAAATAATGTTGGCGATGTTGGACATCCCTGGAGCAGCCCCTTCGATGTTGTTAAGCTGTTTACTATCTTGTTCCCTACTTTTATGTGTATTTTGTTGTTCCTATATAAAGTCTTCATTGCATTTGTGAGTGTTATCGGTATGTCCAGTCTTTCCATCGCTTTCCATAGTTCTTTCCTGGGTACAGTGTCATAGGCCTTCTTTAAATCGATGAATGCTAAGTGTACTGGTTTGTTCTTTGCTTTTTTTTTCTCCAATAATTGTTGGATCGTGTAAATATGATCTATGCATGATCTCCCTGCTGTAAAACCTGCTTGTTCTTCTCCGATTTTTCCTTGTATGTTCTGTTCTAATTTGTCTCTCAGTACTCTACCATATAGCCTCCCCATGGTTGCTATGACACTGATCCCTCGATAGTTATCGCACTGTCTTCTATCTCCTTTTTTGAAAATCGATGTTAGCTGTGCTTCCTTCCATTCGTCTGGTATGTTATGTCCATTTATTGCTTTCCCAAACATTCCATGTATGATTCTGAATAATTTTTCTGTGCCGCATTTTATGAGCTCTGGTGCGATGTCCCCTGGTCCTCCTGCTTTTTTGTTTTTTATTGTTTTAATTGCCTTTCGTATATCTTCTATTGTTATAGGTATATGTTGTGCTCTAGGTTGTCCCTCTTCTTCTTGTCTTTCCTCTATAAACTTTTGTCTTGTTTCCGTGAGTAAATCTTTGTAGTGATCTTTCCACTTCTCAGGTTCAATGTATGATATGTATGATCTTTCTTTCCTATCGGATCTCAATTCCTTAATCACTCTCCATGCTTCTGATCTTCTAGCTCCACCGATATATTGGTCCAAGTTCTGGCAGGTTTTTTCCCAATTTTCGTTTTTCTCTCTGTTTACCATCCCTTTAACGTCTCTGTTTTTTTCTCTATATTTTTTGTAGTCATCTTCATTCCTGGTACTCAGCCATTTATTGTACAGTTGTTTTTTACATTTAATTTCGTTAATCGTCGTTTCACTAAGATTGTATTCGAAAGGTCGTTGTTTTCCTTCTACTTCTCCGAGGGCTTCCATCCCTGCCTGTAGCATACTTTCTTTGATGTGCTGGTATGTGTCTTCCATGTTATCATCGTATCTAAATTCTATGAGTTTCTGGTCAAGTCTTGTTTGGTATAGATGTCGTGTGGATTCATCCTGTAATAATTGTATTTTTAGTGGTTTTCTTTTTTGTATTTCTATCGGTGTTCCTTCAATGTTGTTCGTTTTTCTATTCATCCAAGGGAATTCCATTTTAGCTAGTAATAATCTGTGGTCGCTTCCGCATTCTGCCCCTCGCTGTACTCGGACGTCCCTTATTTTAATTGTAGATCTTCTTCGTATGATAATGTAATCTATTATAGATTTGAGTTCTCTCGTTTCTTGTGTCCAGGTGTATCTGTGGATATCCTTATGTCTGAAGAACCCATTTGTTACTTTGAGGTCGTTTAGTTCGCATATTTCTATGACTCTTTCACCGTTATCGTTGGTTATTTCTTCTCCAAATCTTCCTATTACGCTATCATTTTCTTTTCTGCCTACTCTCCCATTCAAGTCGCCTGCTATAATGAGTTCTTTTTTCCGTATGTTAGCAATTTCGTTCTGTATCGTGTCCAAAAACTTTTCTTTCTCTGTAACGGGGCTGTCATCGTTTGGTCCGTATGCGCCTATTATAATTACGTCCCTACCGTATATCGCTATCTCCACTCTTATCACCCTTTCGTTTACTGGTTCCCACGTCTTGATGTTCTTTCTAAATTTTTTCTTCACTAATATTCCGACTCCCGCTTTAGCTCTTTGTTCTTTTTTCACTCCGCTCCATATATGCAGTGCGCCTCCGATCTCTTCTGTACCGTTTCCCTTTTTCTTTGTCTCGGTTACAACCAATATACCCACGTTCATGTTCATGTTGATAACTCTTAAATTATTAATTTTAAAAAAATTGTACTTAAACCATTAAATTCTACGTAAAAAGGTGCTTTGGAAATGTTTTCATAGAAATACAAAATTTTCCATAGTAAAAAAGTTACAGCGATTTGTTAAAAATGCACATTTTTGAAAAACACCCCGTAACTCCGAAACGGTAACAGATATTGATGTGCAGTTTTCACCATCATGTTTTTGATGAAATTTGAGCTCCAGACACCGGTATTAGTTTTCGTCTATCTCCTATAGAAAAGGGTGTTTCCATTTAAAAGCGTCGAATTTGACCCACCCTGTACATTTTTAAATTTCCTGATTCAGTTTGCCATGGGCTTCTCGAAAATATATAACACTATATATTTATTTCCACTATTAACTTTAAAATTCCAATTTATTTAAAGATATTGACTTTCCTCTTGGTAGGTCATGCCGAGTATTAAAGGAAACAAGCGAATATCTACTTTCAAATTAATCCATGTATTAGCAATTAAATAAATTCGAAAAATACGAAGCAAATAAAAAATAAGTGTGACAGAAACAAAAGAACATATTTTAATACAAACTCAACAGGTTGCGATCTCAGTTAATACAAAAAATAAAAACACAAAGACTACATTAAATAGTCAAACTGCTGCCCATTATTATCTAGACGGAGTTGGCACCGTCTCTGCACGCCGCCTCTAACAGCATTTCGAATGTGTATGTTGGTTACACTTTGCAAAGCCACAACAAAACTTTTTTGTAACTCTTCTAATAAATTTGCATTTCGATAAATTTTGTTTTTCAGAAAGCCCCAGAGAAAGAAGTCTAAAAAAAGTGATATCAGGTGACCTAGGTGGCTAGGATTAAACATTTTCTGACCTTTTAAAAATGGCTGGGTTTGGTTGCTCGCGCTCAAAATACCCCTCAAAATATAAATCAGCTGTCATTTGCTTATGTTTGTTAGACTCAATATAACATTCTAACATATTATATTTCTCAAAATTTTCAAATTTACTCATTTTTTATTATTTAAAATACACACACTTCAATCTGTTGAAATTAAATGTCACGCATCTATCAAAGGTATGTGCCGATCACCATGACAACCGTTTACTTTGTTACTCGGCGCGGCCTACTATACTAACTGGATATTTTAAGAAAAATTTGAAATGTTGAGGTTAATAGTGAAAATAACTATAGAGTGTTATATATTTTCGAGAAGCCCATGCCAAGCTGAATCAAGAAATTCAAAAATATACAGGGGGTTCTATTTAAAAAAACAGAAGTATAGTTAATATCTAAAAAAATATTTTTTTCGAAAAAAGTCTGACTACGCCACTGCATTCTACACAGAAAAGTGCCTTTAGAATGTATAATTCATTTTTGCGTAGTTGCTGAAATAAACAAACTATCGAACACTTTCAAAAAGTACAAAATTTGAGAATCCCCCTGTAGCTTCGAAACCGATCAAGATAGCCACGATCCGTTTGCGGCATTGTGATTTTTTCAAAAAAAGAACCCGAGACTGCAGTATCAAAATTTGAATATTTCTTACGGTTTCCCAGATACCCTATAGAAACAACCAAAATGGTCCACCCTGTACTTGTGATGTGTGTCATCAGCGTTTCACAAGTACACGGGACCTACAGTCTATTGCCGAATCCGAACGGCACTATTTGAGAGGCTGTACAAGGCAAATATACTCAAGGTGGTTTACCATTGTTTTTTGCCACGTTCGGCATCATTCGGGTGAAATCGAACCTCCTTCAGCTCGATACGTGTGGGTTTTGTACGTACGTAAAGAATCGTACGTTGAATTCACTCTATGACAAGTACCCTAATGGTATATCCGAACAATAAAAAATGATTGGACATAATGGAAAATAAAAAAATTCCTTCCTTGAGGTGGCGGCTCGTTGTTCGCTCTATTGAGATAAATAAATATTTTTATTTAAATAAATAAAGCGATCTTGCTGGCTGGGGATCGAACCCAGTACCTTCCGCTTCGCAGATCGACACACTAACGCTGGAGCTACGGCCGGCCTAACGCTGGAGCTAGTGTCCATTGCAAAAGTAAAAGTGTTTTGGCGTATTGTGGTGAATTAGTGTTTTGTTTGTGAATTATATTGTGGTAAATTAGTGTATTATAATCACATATAACGACTTAATGTAAGTGAACAAGTAACGCAAATCTAGAAATTGAAAGTGTTTACTCTACCTGGTTAAAGTGTCACCAGTCTCGCTTTGGAACTCCGGTATATCTAATGAGAAACTTCTAGTTTTCATGGCTATTTCTAATTCCTCTAATTTCTGACGTTCGTTGAGAATTTTAAGCTTCTTAACGAATGGAAGAGGGCCGTACTCGGGTGACAAATCATCAATGGATCTAAAATATTGTTATGTCAAATAATTATGGAAGTAATTAATGATTTATTTTAACACATACTGCAACATTCAAGAGGACGCGGACGGGTACATAATTGGCGATATATATAAATTACATTAATTTGTATATAAGGCAATATTGTGTATTAGAAATTATTGTGAAAGCAATGGTTACATAATTTTAAATGGGAATTAGTTGAAGGTAGCAATACTAGTAGTAGCACTAACTAGAAGTTACTATTAAGTTCAAGTAATAGAGTGCGTGTATTATAATTTGTTGTGAATAAAAACTTTATAATATGCCATTTTCTCTTTTCTTCATTGCTTATTCTATGTATTTTTTATTTATTATTATTATTATTTCTTATCATTGCTTATTATAATATACTAAGGGCTAGCAAAGATTAGTCTTGGGTCGAGATTTCCGTATGTAAGAAGAGTATAATGCATTTATAACGTACTGAACAAAGAGAGAACAGTAAACACGTTGCCAAACGTATGAAATAAACCGAGAAACAGTGCACATTGCTAAGAGACGTGGAAGGGAATAAGCAGATTTGTCGCAGTCAGTCCACCGGATGACCCAATCAGTATCTCTGTTAGTACTTAAAGTTCTAGAAAAAGGTGTGCATCATGCGTTCAGCTTCACGATTTAATTACGTCTCGTGATACTTTATTTGTTTTTTTATTAACGAGTCGTTATAATTTTTCCTATAACTTGAAAATTTTTAAGTGCAAGTTAGAAACACTTGCATTTTTGATAAAAATAAGTGGAATTGAGTTGGTGTTCGACAGTGGTCGGCGCTATTAAAACTATGAATTCAAAAATCAATATCTCGAAATCTATTAGAAATAATTGATTGTAGTTTTTCAAAAACTTTCTTCGCAGACAGTATGTAAAACTCTTTATAAATAAAAAAAAGTTACACGATTGTTGAAAACTGCTATGCACTAAAAGTAAATGGATGGGTTGTTTAAAATTAAAGAATGGAAAAAAACAACCTTATCGAATTTTTCTTATGTAAACATATTGTAAATGATCCGATCTTCAAAATAAAAAAAAAATCTTCAATATCTAAAGTGGTTCTTAAGTTATGGCGTGTTATGTGTTAAAAAATTAGTTTTTACATTATCGCGATTACTGACGTTTTTTCGTTAAAAAAAACGGACACCCTAACGATATCCTTATAATTCAATTTCAGATGCTCATAACTCATTTCAGAAACATATCTAATGATTTTATCTAGTTACCTTTCCGAAAAAAAGTCTTTAAAATAAGCGGTTTGCGATGGTGATTTTACTTTACTTGATAGGCGAAAGGCGTACCGGCAACAACGACTTAATAAGATCCCTATGCGATTTACTTCCACACATGTAAATACCGACCTAAAAGTAACAGTTGCCAGCACGGTAGATCGAAGCATAGTATTACAAAAATGTATATTCACAATCAGTAATTATAATAAACGCATTGTAGGTATAATTAATAAATTTCTTAATTATAAAGTCTGTCCAAAGAGAAAATACATGCCATTGAAAATTATTGTCTGTCATTCTAATTCACTAATATATTCCCTGATCCCTTGGACAGACTTTATACAATAAGTATCATGTGTAGTTGCTGTTAGGCAGTGCGTATATCAAGAGCTGAAGAGAATCTTTGACTTTAATACAAATGAGATATTTTAAAATAAAATATTTTTAAATACTTCTTTAGTTATTCGATGGCATATTAAAACTCTCTAGTTTATTGAAAAGATTGGGAATTTGTATAAAAAGTCAAATATTTAATAAAAAGGTATGAATACAAAGTGCAAATATACACCTTACAGATATTTTTAAGATACGTTACAAACCTATAACGCCGTTTATATATTTCGATTGGAACTGTTTTAACCTTCTTATCATCATCCCCATCAGTGTAGCTTTAATTTGAAAAAGTAAAATAAAATAAAGAGACCACATCTACATGAATATATATAAGGTTTTAAATGGAAAATAATAATAAAACTCTAGTTGATAATCTTATAAGTAGATAGACAGACGGTTTTAAATTTATATCTGAGAAGTTTATTATCAGATTATGCAATATTAGGGCATTGTTGCCCACTTTTACATATTTTCTTTTGATCAAAATATTTTAGAAAACAAAAATTAATTAATTCAAATATATAAACAGTTATTATTTACATCAACAAAACTCACCTTCTTAACAGAATTTAAAGGGCATAAACGGCTATTACTACCGCTTTCCTGTTCAAAATATTCTAATAAGGTTGCGATGAGTTTTTAGCAACGGCTATTAAGATATCTTGTACACTTCACATTAAAAGAGGCTCAAAAAAGAACAATGTTCGACTGCAAGGTCTGCTAGTAAAGATTTTTAAGCTTATAGTATTTCAACACAATTCATCGAGCAAGTCATTTAAACCAAAAACTCGTAATATAAAACTAAAGTGTCAAAACGAATGACAATGTCAGGAAATAAATAAATAAATGTGATAACTTGACATTTTTTACAGTAGAGCTACCACCTGAATCTCCATCGGAAAATTTAAATTCCAGTTAGTCAGACCAGCGCCGAATATGTTCATGGTGGGCAACAATGAATTTAAAAATTTCGCCCTCGATTCTCGATTACATAACTAAAAGTTTAATTGGTTTGGTTATTTACATGTATATCAGAAGAAAAAATTCAAAAAAATTGAAATATTCAAGAAAACTTCGAACATTCATCATTCAATTGAAGTATTAATAAAAAGATATACACTTTTCTTAACTTTTAATCATTTTTTGTTTATTTTTATTTAATTTAATGACGGTTCAGATAAACTCTACAACTCATACATTTAGCGGTTTTACTATACCCAATAGGTAAGACTGCAGGTGTCGTAATTGCGCTAATAAAGAAAACATTAATACTGACCTATAATGCTTGGTCTTCTTCGTAAGCACTAAACTAGGCTTCTTCGTTAACTTTTCGTTTCCTTCTGATCTTCCTTCTCTATCTTCAGCAGCATCTTTGCTCACGATGGATAACGAGCTACCTTCGGAAATGGCAGCCTTCTTCAGTTTCGACCAATGGGCAGCTTCGTTCCTTTCTGTACTTTCCGCACTCACGAGTCGCTTCGATACTTCTCGATTGTTATCGGCACTTCTAGGTTCGTCCATGAGTTTGGTATCACCACTAGGTGACTTATCACTAATATGGTCACTAGGTTTATTGTCGGAACTGTGTGAGGAATGTTCCGCGCATGCACTACTACTTAACATATTATTGGACGGTACGTTTGGCACGCTTATATTTGACAGTTCCGTAACGGCAGGAGGCTCACTATCCTTCAACAAAGAGTCCTTAATGTCTTTTTCTTTGGCGCTTGAATGTAACTTAATTCTATCTCTGGAATATTAAAAAATACAGGGTTATTCACCTCATTGGACACGGAGTATTGTAGCCAAGTGATTGGATTTTTAGAAATTGTAAGTCATGGGATCGTTGGAGTACTACTAAAGCTACAATTTAAAATAATTTTCAAAAACTACTAGAGTATCCAAAATAAAGAAAAAATGGAACACACTGTATATTATTACATTTTTAGTTTTTATGAATAAAAAAGGGTAAATTTAATTAAGGTTTATAGCACTTTAATCTTACCATTCTTTAAATATTTTCTCTGAAAATGAACTGATTTTGTGAAAATGCAGTAACAAATTTAAAACTTCATTTTTCTAGGCGTATTTCAGTTTTTAAAACCAAATATTGTACTGCGGTTTTTCTATTTACTAAGTGTTGTATTGAAATAATAAAAAATACTACCTTATACAGAGTGTCTGTATAAAAATTATTTTTAAAAAATATTATTAAAATAAAATATTTTAAATAATAGAGAGATACGGCAAAGTCTAATACTGCCGCAATTCCGCTATTAGCGCTGACGTTATTTTGACATTTGAGTTTGTCGAACTTTGAGTTATGGCAACATAAAATAGCGTTGATTAATTTTAATGATTATGTCAACATCTTTAAAAATTTAGCCCCAACCCAACTTTGTTAAATGTGTGTTTTATTTATTGTATTGTCCATTTATTTCTCTTTGTCGGTTGCATTTTATTTTTTATTGCTTTATCCTATGGTTTTATACATTCTGTAGCATCCCTGTGACGTAATTGCAGCTTCGCTCCTATTGGTCCAAAAGTTACGAGAAAACCTGTTTAATATAGTAACCTTGTCCTTTGTCAATCAAAAGAGCATCTACATTCATAATGTTTCTTTATTTTTATAAAAAAAACAGCTATTAAATATATCAGGAGTTTTAATTAGTGTCTAAAAGAAAGTCTGTCTAAAAAAGAGTACAATTTAACCCAATAAAGAGTTATCTCTTCTTCTTCTTAAGGTGCCGTGCTGATTCCTGCGTAGGCGTTCATATTTTTCTTCCTCATCAGATGGTTCTATTAACTGCAGCGACTTGGAGTGCTTGGAAGTCCTGTATGCCTGTCCAGTGACGAATATTTCTCAGCCAGGATAGCTTCCTTCGGCCTATTCCCCTTTAGCCCCCCTCTATTTTACCCTGGAGAATCAGACGCTGAAAGTGATAGCGTTCTCCACGTTGTATGTGTCTCAAATAGGTTATTTTCCTCTTCTTGATGATTTCGAAGAGTTCACGTTCTTTTAGATTAGCTCTACTGAGAATGTCTTCATTCCTCACACGGTCGACCCAGGGCACTCTTAGCATTCGTCGTAGGGTCCACATTTCGAAGGCTTCAATTCGGTTTGCACACGAAGGCTTCCACACCATATAACAAAACGGACCAGACATAGCACTTCACCATTCTGTATCTTGGCCGAAGGCCGAAGTTCAAGTTCCTATCTATGAGAAACCTTCGAAGCAGGGGCGGATACAGAAATTTATTTTAGGGGGGGGGGCGCTTTTTAGGCAGCCATTTTTAACCCAAAAGCATAATATTTAACCCAATTCATAGATTTTAGGGGGGGGCCTCATGGCCCCCCCTCTATATCCGCCACTGCTTCAAAGTTTCAGAAAAGTAGATCTTGCTTGTTCGATCCTGCTTTTGATCTCCTGATCTGGATCCCACGTTTCGTTAACCATGCATCCCAAATATTTAAATTGTGTGACCTGCTTGATGACCTCTCCATTTAAGTAAATTCTGGTGTTCGGAATATTGTTTCTTCTAACAGCCATAAATTTGTTTTTGTAGTATTTATGTTTAAACCCAGTCTTTGGCTTTCATTGTTAACCTTATTTAGAAGGATTTGGAGATCATTTGCATATCGCTGTATCATCCTCATATTGGATATTATTAATTGGAATGCCATTTATTTTCAAACCAATGGGACTATCGGAGACTGACTCAGTGAATGCTCTTTCCCCATATAAATTGAATAACATTGGAGACAGAATACACCCTTGCCCCCCCCCCTTTTTATTTCAAAATCTTCAGTTACTCCCACGCCATGTATACGAATTTCAGCTTTTTGGTTCCAATACAAATTACTGATGAGCCTTATATCTTTTCCATCAAGTCCCAAGTCTCTGTATATGGTATAAGATATAAGGAGGTTATGTTTAACGTTATCGAATGCCTTTTCATAGTCTATAAAGTACATGAAGACATCTAATCTTTTCTCTGATCTTGGCAATTCTGTACTAATGTTTGAAGACTGAATATGGCTTCTCTAGTACCAAAGCCATTCTTAAATCCAAATTGACTTTCTCCACTTACTTCCTCACATTTTTTGTAGAGTCTTGTATGCAGCACCCGTAGAAAGGACTTAAGGAAGTAGCTCATTAGACTAATAAGACGATACTCTTTACACGAAGTTGCGTTGACTTGGGTAGCGTGATAAACGTAGAATGAAGCCAGTCTTCAGGGATGTGACCGGTGTCCGGTATCATAGATGTTATTGAAAAGCTGTAAAGCTGTACTAAAGTTTTTAAGATTTGTTCATTAATTAAGTGGAACGTTTCCGAATACATATCATCAGGCCGTGGAGTTTGGTCGTTTTTCATTAATTTAATCGCATGAATAATTTCACTTTCCAATATGCTTGGTCCTGATGGCATGGGAATCTCAGTTGCAGGGTTTTCTGATCTTTCGTCGTTGAAAAGATTAATGGTATAATTTCCGTTATTATTTTATTTTCATCAGTTGTAATTAGGGTTATTGGTTTATTATGGTTACTGAGTTATCTCAATTTTTAGCAGAAATACAGTATCTCAACTGATAAAATAACGTTCCTAAACTGTCAAATTACCATGTCAAATTACTGCACGGCATCTCCTCCACCTAAACACTGGCATGAGGTAACGTTAATAGCAATAAATTAATATTTCTACATTTTAATTGTTAGTGTATTTTCACAAAATCGTAAATATTTCAGAAGCGGTAAGATTAAAGTGCTATAAACCTTAATTAAATTTGCTTTTATTTTAATCGTAAAAACTAAAAATTAAATAATATACAGGGTGTTACATTTAAATAAATACAACTTTGACATTTTTCCGCATTTTTCTTTATTTGGGACACTCTGTACCTTTTGAAAATAATTTTAAATTGTAACTTTAATAGTCTTCCAACCATCCCAACTAGTTCTGCTGAAGTAATCTTAATACTAGATTCTTTTAAGTCGCTGCACTGAAGTAGCACCTTACCTAAATGATATTTTGTTATTAAATAATTTGGCTGGAACTGCTGCTAAGGCATTTTTTGTGGGACCAGAAAATGATGGTCTACTCGACGCAAAGTTCTGGGAACTTAAGGGCGTTGGTGAGGTCGGTTGACTATGAGATGGTGTACTAGCTAAAATATAAATAAAAAGAAAACGTAACATCTATATAAAAGAATATGCACCATGTTCAGAATAACTAGATATACAATGAGAAAACAGTTTTAAAATTTTAACTTCCCTGAAATTTATGTTCTTGGTAAAAGTCTCTACATATCACAAAAGTGCTAATAAGCTGGAAAAATTAAAAAATACGAATCCTAACAACTAAATGTTTGAATAAACAAAAATTTATTCAAAACTTTGATTTGCATAAACTGAATTATTAAATTTAAGATCTACATTAACAATACATTAAAAAGTATCATTTCTAATGGGTATTTAAATATTTTTAGTTTGGTTTCTATAAACATTAAAATAAACTGTAGGCGAATAAATAAACAAAAATGTTGCACAATATCGTGACCAGTAAATGTTCGGACATTTTAAGAAAAAAACTATTTTAATATGGCGTTACATCGATATGCGTTTTCAGAACCACTGCAATCCTGTCTGGCGTTATTTTTATTAATGAATGACATAAGCCAATTTCAGAATTTTGCAATAATTCATCTATAATATCATCGTCAAATGGGCAACGGTTTGTTGGAAATTATCACGCATTTTAGTTTCATTTTATGCCACAATTTCTCGTTAACATTAAGGTCCGGACTATTCGAAGGCCATGAAGGGACCTTAATGTTATTGTCCCTAACCCATTTTTAAGTAGTTTTAGCCATATAACATAGATCAGCGTCCTGTTGAAATATAAAATTCAGGTCCTGGTAAAGGTCTCTCGCACTTGGCACAAGATTTTTCAAAATTTCTTGATTTTTTACTCAGTAATTGTACCTTCTACCACCTCATATCTTCCTAGACCCATTGAGGACAAACACACTCAAACCATAATGCCTCTAGGAAATTTCACTGTACTTTTGAGGCATTCTTTATCAAATACACACTCTAGCAGTGTTTGATTGTTTTTATTTTATTGATATTAAACTGGTTCATGTACACTTGCAATTGCAATTTACGATTGAAATTATCAGTTTATAAAGATTGCCTCAAAAGGATAGTGAAATTTCCTAAAATCATTATGTTTTTAGGGCGTATGGTCGCAATGGGTCTGTATGAGGTGTTAGAAGGCACCATTAATGCGTCAAAATATCAAGGAATTTTGAAAAACACTTTTGTGCCAAGTGTGGTAGACATTTACCAGAAAATGAATTTTATATTTAAACAGGATGGTAGTGCATGCCATATGGTTAAAACTATTAAAAAGTGGTTTAGGAAAAATAACAACAAGGTCCTCTCATGGCCTTCAAACAGTTTGGATCTTAATGTTATCGAAACCTTGTGGCATAAAATGAAACAAAAATTGCGTGATGATCCCCAACGAACCGTTGCCGATTTGACGATGATATTAGGTCATTGCCTGGAAACTTATATGGTGAAATTTTGATAAAATAATTTAGTACACACTAAAAACACCGTATGTCGCTAGTGGTAGGAAAAAATAATTTTTATAGGTTACTAGTTTATTTGGTTGCCTGTGATATGCATATACAGGGTGTTTCCTAATTAATCTAAAAAATAAAAAATCGTTAGAAAGCGAATTAAGGCGGGCTCTTAATAAGTATATTTATTTTTTTCTCGACAACCGTTTGATGAACAAAAAAAAACTCAAAAGATCAGTTTTGTTGAAAAAGGATGGTCAGTCAAGAAAAAAATATATTTTCTTTAAAAAAGCAGTGGTGTGCCATATACGTTAAGCAAAAAAATCGATTTTTTTAATTTTTAACACCCTGTAGATCAGAAAGGAAGTACTTTAGACCCAATGGTTATATAAAAATTGTTTTAAGAACACATGAGGAATCACACCATAATTTTTTTAGACTAATTCGAAAACACCCTGTATATTGTCAACTTGACAATGACTGCTGATAAATCAAAAAATACCTTTCAGTGAAAAAAGCCTGATTTTCGCAGGAAAAATTTAGATTTTTATTGAATTTGGGCCCGCGTTTGCAAATACTCGTTTGTTTTTTAATTTTCTATCTATCTAAATTTTAAATATCATAGTCAGAAATAGTTTTATTATTTATTAACTGTAAAAATGGTGTTTTCTTGTTGTGTTGCATCTTGCAAAGAAACTAACAAAACTGCAAAAATGTACGTGTTTCCAAAAGACGATAAGGTATGTAGGTATCTTAGATAAAAGAAAAATATATGTATTCGTTGTTTGATTTATTTTCGTTCGTTTTAAAATCTATAAATCTCGGTCTATTCCAAAGGTCTATTCATTAGACAGCCAGTCGACTTACGATCATTTACATGAAACTCTGTAAAATAAATAAAAAAAATAAATTGTAAAATATATATATTCTTATGTTTTATTAAAGTTACTCTGATATACTAATATATCAGTGTAACTTTAAAAATAAATCCTTTGAATTCAAATATAAACATAAAAAACATTTACAGCAGAAAAGGCGAAGGCGCTGGGTTAAACGTAGTCTCCACTAAAAACACGGAGGGGCGCTTTGACCCAAAATTTTACTATTAAGTTTCATATCTATCTTAATAGTAGATTATTTTCTTTTATCTATGTATTAGGTGAATTAAGGCAAAATTTTTACTTTGACGTATGTCAGTCTTTAATAAAAACAATTCCATACAGGCTTGGAGTGGTTGTAAAAGAGCATGCTGATGTAATAGCCTAAGAGCTAGCAACGTTTTCGAGAAAGTATTTTAAGACGTCTCGCTCTTTGATATATCTTTTACTATGCTCTCTGGAACAGCATGCGGCCCGTCTGGCTGCCGATACCCGTTGCGTTCACTACTGCGCATCGGAAGAAGATCCTATATTTTATTAATTTAGTCCTATAAATTCTAGTATTGAATATAAATCGAACATGTCTCCATAACGCAGTGCGTAGAGTTTCCGACCACGAACCCATGATTCAGAGTTCGAATCCGGGTCAGGGCAAAGACTTTTTTATTTTATTTTCGTTTATATTCTGACAGTAAAGTATTAAATAATTCTGGTAATAAAAAAAACAAATATTTAATACTTTACTATCAGAATATAAACGAAAATAAAATAAAAAAGTCTTTGTCCTGACCCGGATTCGAACACTGAATCATCAGTTCGTGGTCGGAAACTCTATGCACTGCGCTATGGATACATGTTCGATTTATATTCAATACTAGAATTTAAAGGACTAATAAAAATATAGGATCTTCTTTCAATGTGCAGTAGGAAACGCAACGTTTACCGGCCAGACGGGCCGCATGTTGTTCTAGAGAGCATAGTAAAAGATATATCAAAGAGCCAGACGTTTTAAAATACTTGTTTTTCCGACGTTTCTAGGTCTCGTACTATAACGACATATTTAAACAATTATTTCTTAAAGTGTCCGAACATTTAGTTGTCACGATATTGTGTAATGTTTTTGTTTATTTATTCGCCTATTCAGTTTATTTTAACGTTTATAGAAAACAAATTATTTAAATACTCATTAGAAGTGATACATTTTAATATATTTTTAATTTAGTACTCAAATTTGATAATACAGTTTATGTAAATTATAGTTTTCAATAAATTTTTGTTTGTCCGAATATTTAGTTGTTAGGGCTCGTATGTTACCTCTTTTGCTAGTTAGTAATGGTTTGTGTTGTCCCCCTACACCGGTTTTAGCCATTTTTGAAGCTTTCTCTTCTTTGGCTTTTAACATAAGGATCCTCTGTAATAATGGCATTCCTGTATCAGGAGGTTCTTCAGTTAAGGAAGTTTCTTCCATGATAGGAGGTGGCGAACGTAATGTGGAAGACTGAGGAGATATAAGAGGAGAACTTTGGTTGCTTTTAACTCGTTCTTCATTGTCTTGCTTCTCTTTCAGGAGTCTATTAATAAATTTAATGTATTATTTATATAATTTCTACATTAAAAGTAGTTTTGTATGCAATTCTCAAAATTTTTCAGTAATTATCATTTTTAACGACGATAAGTAAGAAATATTATGAAAATTACTTACCTTAACCTTTGCAGTAATGGTAACCCTGCACCCAATGGTGATAAAGCAGAATGGGATCTTTCATGTTCAGGTGCAAGACTATCTTTTCTTTCTTTTTTTTCGACATCTATTTGTTCTTGACTGAGATCATGCGATTTGACTCTATTAATACAAAGAGTAATTATTTATTAAGAATGGCATAAATTTTCAGATTCACTACTGAAGTTATACCAATTTCATTTCACTATTTGTATGCTTTTGAAAACCTAGTCGAGATACGAGGGTACTCAAAAAAATTCAAAATTTTTAAATACGTCCTGTATTTCATTAACTAAGAGGGCTAAGACAAATCTGTGCATAACATCTTGAGTTACATAAAAATGTATTATGTATCCTTCCGGCCTGTATCCTTCAGGCAGAAATTTACGCTATCCAAAGATGCGTACTAATTAATTTATCTTAGATAGGAACTATCGAAAACAGGAAATTGCCATCCTATCCGATAGTCAAGCAGCCCTTAATGCGATCGACTCAGTCACCAGTCACCAACAATGCGAAGTTGGTCAAAGAATGCCTGGAGAAGCTCAACAAATTAGGTAAAGAAAATAAAGTCCTCCTACTCTGGTGCCTGCTTACCAAGGGATAGAAGGCAATGAAAAAGCAAATGATCTAGCTAGGAAAGGAGCGAACACTCCACTAACTGGACCAGAACCGTACTGTTTTCCAAACGGGAATCAACTGAAAGCGGAACTGAAGAATCTGGAAGACTCCATCCGTAACTTGGAATGGGTGTTCTCCAACGGTCTAAGACACTCGAAAAAGTTCCTCAGAACTTACGACCGAGAAAAATCAAAGGTTTTCCTTGATTTAAGTAAAAACAATCTTAGGATTGTCACGGGGTTTCTAACAGAACACTGTCTCCTCAACGAACATCTCAGTAGGCTGAAGCTGAGAAACAACGGCGAATGCAGATTCTGTGGGAAAAATGGAGAAACACCACCTCATCACTGAGTGCGCCGAGACGACGACCATTCGTGCCATGAACTTTGGTACGGCTGATGTCGAGGATAGAGAGCTGGCCTCTGTGGAGCCGTCTCAAATACTGGCTTTTGTTAAAGCCCTGAGACTGTATGATGAGTTATAACTTGTTATAACTCAAGAAAGGAGAACACACAATAGATCTGTAAGGTCGCGGTGATTAACTCCCCTCCTAAACATTCCACATTCTACATAAAAAAAGTAGCAAAGTCATTTGAAAACTGCATCTTTGTATCTCTACTACTCAAAACGAAAAACGTCATAAAACACAAAAAAATAGGAAACCCTGTAAGCATTCAAAAGTTTTTTACTGCAAGTAATGGGAATTCGTCTTTGCATGTTGTATAAGACCCAAAAATGTGAAGAAGTAAAATGGAAAAAAAATCTGTAATGTCAAATCGCAATGAAGAAAATTTGGATGCACAAAAAAGAGGTAGGTATACCGGGTGTTATAAACTGCATCTTTGTATCTCTACTCCTAAACGAAAAACGCCATAAAACACACAAAAGTGGCTCACTCATATAACTTATTTTTTTCAGTTAAAAAACAAGATTTTGTACATTAGTCTGTGACATAAAACAGGATTGACTGACGTATTCAATTATTTTCGGTCACTTCCTGTTTCACCGGAAATTACTACTTTTGATTTTTAAATAGCACCCTCGTTTTTTTACGTTATTGGATAGAAAATGCCCCTCTCAATAGAATGACAAACCATATGTCAAATTTTGACATTTTCGCATATGGTTTATTTGAAATTGTAACATGCGGTTAATAACGGCAATTTGACTCAAAATACCAAATGTGTGGTACCAAACATTGCCTGGAAACTTATATGGTGAAATTTTGATAAAATAATTTAGTACTCACTAAAAACACGGTATGTCGCTAGTGGTAGGAAAAATAATTTTTAGAGGTTACTAGTTTATTTGGTTGCCTGTGATATGCATATACAGGGTGTTTCCTAATTAACCTAAAAAATAAAAAATCGTTAGAAAACGGCTTAAGGCGGGCTCTTAATAAGTATATATTTATTTTTTTCTCGGCAACCGTTTGATGAACAAGAAAAACTTAAAAGATCAATTTTGTTGAAAAAGGATGTCCAGTCAAGAAAAACATTTATTTTCTTTAAAAAAGCAGTAGTGTACCATTTATTTTAAGCAAAATATCGATTTTTTTTAATATTTAACACCCTGTAGATCAGAAATGAAGTACTTTAGACCTAATGGTTATATAAAAATTGTTTTAAGAACACATGAGGAATCACACCACAATTTTTTACACTAATTAGAAAACACCCTGTATATTGTCAACTTGACAATGATTGTTGATAAATCAAAAAATACCTTTTCTGCATAGATAAATGCAACAAGTTTAGATTGGAAAGCCCGTAAAAATTTTAGGTCGCGAAATTATTTTGGGTCGCGACCGTTATACGCGATCTGGCGCTGCTATAGCGGTCGCTAAGAACAACGGCAAACAAAAACAGAAATAATTTTCTCTTGTCAAAGTCAGAATCTTCAAATATCATAATAATCTTTCAAAATCTAAACCGCTCTCATTAAAGAAATTCCGAAAAGTGTTTATAGTGTCCATTTTCAAGTTAATTATTGATATCTTGTGAGTTTAGTTCAAGTTTTATTTATTCCAACCGGTGATAATTGTGAAAAAGTGGCATTAAAAACTTAAAAAGCTGTGCTGTGTACTGTGAACTGCAAAAACCATCGTGGATCGTGGCATAACGTCGGTTTCCAATGTTTCATAGGTATTTCATACATGCGTCCTTATATAAAATAAAGTTTCTTGTATGCAACACACTGTATTTTATTTATAAAATTAAACGAAAATAATAATAAATTTGAATAAACAATATTTGGCGATATAATTCCGGAAAAAGCCGAACCGCTCCGAAATTTTCAAAAGTTTTGGGTCGCGACCGTTGCAAGAATAGCGGCAAATAGTGTTTACATTGTCCTTATGGGCACTTTCCAATCTAAACTTGTTTCATTTATCTATGCTTTTCTGTGAAAAAAGCCCGATTTTCGCTGGAAACATTTTGGTTTTTATTGAATTTGGGCCTGCGTCTGCAAATACCGGTATGTTTTTTAATATTCTATCTATCTAAATTTTAAATATCATAGTCAGAAATAGTTTTATTATTTATTAACTGTAAAAATGGTATACTTATAAGTTTTATCAAAATTTATATTTAATAAACTGTAAAATATATATATTCTTATGTTTTATTAAAGTTACTCTGATATACTAATATATCAGTGTAACTTTAAAACTAAATCCTTTGAAATCAAATATAAACATAAAAAATATTTACAGCAGAAAAGGCGAAGGCGCTGGGTTAAACGTATGTAGTCTCTACTAAGAACACGGAGGGGCGGTTTGACCCAAAATTTTACTATTAAGTTTCATATCTATCTTAACAGAAGATTATTTTCTTTTATCTATGGTACCAAATTATTCATAAAATAATGCTTTTTCCATCTGGCTCGTTCCATTTGAAAAAAAATTCAGATATAATTAAAAATCCGATTTGAGCATCTTCTAACGAGCCAGAACAAGACACGAAAAACATAAGACGATCAAATCTATTTTTTCAAGGCTCCTTGATTAAAAATGAGTACTTTTAACGCAACTATGGCACTCTAGATCAAAATTCATAATATTTTTTTAAGTGAAAATGTCAAAATCCATTCTATTCAAAGTGTCTTTTTCTATTGAATAAAGTAAAAAAATACCGAGAATGCCGTTTAAAAATCAAAAATTGTAGTCATTTCCGCGGTGAAACAAGAAGTGACCGAAGAAAACTGAATACGCTAGTCAATCCTAATTTCTGTACTATACTATATATACTAACATACTAAATCTCAATTTTTATCTGAAAAAATAAAAAAGTTATAGGTATAGTACTGAAGTTTTTTAATAAAAAATAGTTATAATATAATAAATAAACCTAATAAAAAACGAAAAGAAAATTAATATATAAGGAAATTAAAATAACTTTGGTTGCACATCATAATACGACCACCAGCAAACTCCATAAGACGACGCATGGTGTCATTGATGACGTGCACCCAAAGTTGTTTTAATTTCCCTTTAAACCATTTATTTTATTGGATTTTTTTATGAAGGGCATGATTTTATGAGATGTATATCATTAATTTAAAAAAGTCGGATTCATCTCTCCAAAAAATCCTCTATGGGTATTTCGCCACTGCAAGGAAATCTACAAAATAAAATAGTTATTTCTTGTAAACACTTCTGCTTTAATCCCCAACAGAAACTATCTGTCAGAAGTTAGGTTTACAGTTATACAAATTTGCCTAACAAACAAAAAAATGCTTAGCGTTTCGGAAAGTTTATCTCTTTCCGTCGTCGGAAGCAAAAAAAATACTAAGAATAAAGAAAAAAAACTATTTAAAATATTTAAATTCACTATTCGAGAACACTTTAGTTTTTTAAAACAGATACGACTACAAAAACCGTTGACGTACTGTTAAAATAACATTAAATTATGGATTTCGACAACGAAAATACTTTTTTAAAAAATTTTATTTTTCACAAAGTATGTTTAACAGATACAATGAATACAATGGTTAAGAACAGAATGACAATTTTAATGCGCTTGGTTATATTTATAAGTTCGGTTTCGCTCGCGTCTTCGTGGGAAAACCATGCTATTTCCTCTCACATAACTCCTCCCTTCTTAAATGGAAAATGTGAGGGGAGGCGAATCATTTTCAGGATGTTCCTCTCGGGGTTGCTTCTTTTTCTATCTTCTTTTGTAGATAGACCATGTAATCCAACAAATCATTGCGATGACCAGAATTGTAATGGCAATGCTAGCGAAACTCCATCCTACAGGGTGTATCACTTCATTAAAAGGTTGAAGTAATTTAACTTTTTCCTGAAGTTCAGATATTTCATGGATATTTATTGACTTAATATCGATAGGTTGATCTTCTTTTGAGTTTTCTGGTCCAACGTAGATTTTCGGTAAGGTAAAGGGCATTCCTTGAATTATTTCTTCTTTATTGATGAATTGATAGCTTGATACATTTACTTCACAGTTCGGTTCGATTTCTATCAGGCTTGGATCGCTGATAAA